ACTCATGCACTATGCTGTGATTGCGACTTGTGCACTTGCAAAGGATTAAACTTTGTATGTCTGTCAGTAATGTTACAGCTGATGATGTTCATTTGACTGATAAAATGCCTTCCAACTCAGATTTTTCTCCTGCTCCAAATTCATTTGGTCTAGCTACAACTTCTGAACATGAGTGTATGACATCCTCAATAGTAGGATCTATTTCAAAACCTCCTTTTCATTATAACACTACCTCTTTAGATCCTATTCCACCTAGTGACTCATCTAGATGTATTCAATTAGAAATTGTCTTACCTCTCACCAAACCACAACATCCATCCTCCATCAGAAATTGTCACCCTATGATTACTCAATCTAAGCATCACTTTTGGCACATTGCAGGTCAAGCTCTGTTCTCAACCTGCCAGATCTTAGCTGAACCTAAAACTCCCTCAGAAGTACTGGAAATTCCAAAATGGAAAGCAGCCATGGCTATGATTTTTATGCCCTCTTGAGAAATAAAACTTGGGATTTAGTTCCCTATTCTCCGGGAATGAACATAGTAGGCTGCAAGTGGGTTTTTAAAACCAAACTCAAGTTAGATGGGACTTTACAAAAATACAAAGCAAGGCTGGTTGCCAAGGGTTTTCAACAAACCCTTGGCTTAGATTACCTTGATACCTTTTCCCTTGTAATCAAGCCTGCACCCATTAGAATTATGTGGTCTTTAGTTGTTCATCATCAGTGGGATATATAACAAATTGACATTAATAATGCATTCCTAAATGGTGATCTCATAGAAACTATTTTTATGTGGTAGCTTGAGGGATTTTCAGATGTTGCTTGTCCTCAACATGTGTATAAGCTCAACAAAGCCCTGTATGTACTGAAACAATCTCCTAGAGCTTGGTTTGACAAATTGAAAATAACTCTTGTTGGTTGGGGATTCACCAACTCATTATCAAACACTAGTCTTTTTTTCTTCAAACAAGGTAGTCAAGTCATCTATCTTTTGGTGTATGTGGATGATATCCTCATTACATGTACCAATTCTACACTCATAGCAAGAATAATTGAAGATTTGAACCAGCAGTTTGCCCTGAAGCACCTCAGGTCCTTGCAATATTTTCTTGGCTTTAAAGTCCAAAGGAGTAACTCCACCTTGCTACTTATTCAGTCCATGTATGCTTAAGATTTGTTAATTAAAGCTAGCATGGGTGAGTGTAAACCTTGTAATACCCCTATGGCCGCAGGAGTTAAACTAGGCAAAGAAGATAGTGCTTTCTTTGAAGAACCTTCTCTCTACAAAAGTATTGTAGGAGGCCGGCAATATCTTACACATTTCAGGCTTGATTTAGCCTTCTCTGTCAATTGGTTGAGTCAGTTTCTTCAAGCTCCTACCACTGCCCACTGGACTGCCTACAAAAAAGTCATGCGGTACATCAAGGGCAACCTAGACTTTTGTTCAAGAAAGGATTAGATTTTATACTTGAAGGATATGCGGATGCTGATTGGGCTAGTGATGTAAGTGGTAGACGATCTACAAGTGGCTATAACATCTTCCTTGAGGATCATTTAGTGCAGTGGAGCTTTAGAAAACAAAAGGTGGTTTCATTATCTTCAACTGAAGCTGAATATAGAGCCCTCTGTCAAGCAGCCACTGAATTGGTTTAGATTTAGCATTTATTTCAAGAGCTTGGTATAAACATTAACACAACCCTTGTTTTGTGGTGTGATAATATGAGTGCTGGAGCTCTCTCATCCAACCCTGTGTTCCATGCCAGAATAAAGCACAATGAAATAGATGTGCATTATGTGAGAGAGTTAGCAGCCGAGAAGACATTAGTGGTTCAATATATTGGCACAGAGTATCAAGTTGTAGATATTCTAACCAAGGCACTGCCTGGGAGCAAATTTCAGTGTCTAAGAGCGAAGTTAAATGTTACCTTTGGTTCTAATTTTGAGGTGGATATCAGTGTTATTCTGATCAATGAAAAAGCTAAAGTTGATTAGGAAGATCCTAAAGTAGAATAAACTTGTAGTTCGTCTGCTAGGGTGTTGGAATTATAATTGCTTGCTGTTGTTGATAATTGTTGCTGCTAGTGCTGAGTTGGTGAATTTGTAAGTTGAGGTGTTAAGATAATGACTGAGGTTGGACACCAAGTATGCTGCTAAGATTGGAATGATCAGGATACAAATAGTGGAGATATTATGGAGTCTAGTTTACGGGTGGATGTTGGCTTACAAGTCTGGTATATAGTTCAATTTAAGGGAGCATATTAGGATAGTATATTGGTAATTTGTTACATAGTCCAGTTTAAGGGAGAGTGTTAGTATAATGGGGTGTGTTTGTAATCTTTTAGCGTATGTGTTTGTTACTCATATGGGGTGTCTTTTGTAAAGTCTAAAACTAGAAGGTTAAAACTTTGTGTTTTAACCCAACGGCTCTGTATAAATTAGCCGGCTTCTTGTAACAGATTCAGTTATGAAATACAGTCACTTTTCAGCTCGTTTCTACTCTTCTTTTGTTGCTCTTAAAGTCATTCAAAAAAATAAAAACAATGTTTGTTAGAAGAATCAAAAAAAAAAAAAAAACATGTTTGTTACAAGTCTAATAATCGGTGGAGTCAACTTGGGCTTTGTTTTGCTGAATTATTAATTCTTTCTTTACTTTATTGTGCTGTTGGTTCTCTGGAGGACTCGTTCATGGCTGCTATCTCTCTTTCCAAAGTCTGTCAATCACAATAACGTCTCTTGACAATGACGTCTCTCTTTCCATAATGTTAACAAAGATGTCTATGATTAAAATTATAAATATTTATTTATCTAATTATAAAATGTTTAAGAGCGCGTGATAGTTGGTAAGGAAGAAATTATTCTAGTCTAGCCCTTGAACTTCTCAAACGTCTTGGAGAAATAATCTTAAAAGGATATGACTTGGAGATTGCAAACCAAATCCGAAGACCTTCACAGTTGTTTATACGACGCAGCTAAGTGGGAAACTTCGAATTCATAACATAGTTCATTTGCCAAATATAAAAAAATTAAACATCGATGTTATAGAAAGTATATTTTATGTAAAGAATTTAGAAACAATTTTTGAAAACCGATGTCTTTTCTGACTGGAAAATAGACGAGCCTAAAAATACAGCGATATATTTTCTTGAAACCCAGTATCAAAAATAAAAATGAAAAATTTGAATTAAAATAATAATTTTTTTACGCTACTCACCTTTTTACAATTATTTAATTTTAAATATCTTATAGAAAGTATATTATGCGTAATTGTAATGAAAACTTAAATCTTAATAGTGTTAATTTGATATTAATTAAAAGTACCAAGCGCTTATTGAAGTTTTAAATGACAAAATGTAAACAATACGGGACTTGTGGTATTATTATAAAGCGCAAAAGAACAGACTTGAAGGTGGAAAGTCGTTGTTCCAGTGTTAATAAGGGACAAAAATATTCCTTGCAGGTCAGACATTTTTCTCATCTTCTCTTCTACTATATAATCCCTAAAGTTTCAGCTCTTGCTCATTCTTCATTGTAGACTTCCTTGCTGGATCTGTTCTCATTGCTTGGTTGGGTTGAGAAACTTTCTGCCATCTTAATTTGTGTTTTGAGTTCATTCATTTTCTTGGATTTGCTTAGTAAGTATATCTTTGCCTAGATTATTTTACATTTTTTATTTTGTTGAAATTTGGTTTTGGTTTTTCTTGATTTGAAAGTTATGTTGGTATTCTTGAGTAAATTTTACATCGCTTTGTTGAAGTTGAAAGTGGAGACAAAAATGAATGGATTTAATGCAATCCAATACTTGGAATTAGTTTGATGCAAATGGATTTATGCTATATCTGTCATTAATATATTCTTTGTTTGTTTCTTCTGTATTTTTATTTAGATTAGGGATATAAGGTAGGATATACCCTATGGTATATTGTTCTTGATAAAGTTATTTTCCTACATGATTAAATGGTAGGATACAAGCTTTTCCTACGCGCCCCAAACATGTTACTGACAACATATTGTTCTTCGTAAAGTTGTTTTCCTACCTCGTATTTATTATTATTATTATTATCGTTTTCATATTCCCTAGAAGATTATATGGTAAGATATATAGTTTTTCCTACCGTTATAACACATTATTGATGATATATATATACATTTTGCTAACTGGAGGTGTTTGGGTCAGTTTGTACGCATCTCAACTAATCCTCTGGAACCTTGAAGTTGACGATCGAGTAAATCTCCTCAGTAGTCACTCTATTAGGACTTGTGGGGACTTGAACTCAGGAACCCATATTGGACCTTTTTACTCTTTTGTCATCAGGTCATCCAGTGGTAGTTTACCAATGACATATTGTCATCGGAAAAAACTATAACCCAAAATAGCTTATTCGAAAAGAATTTTTTATTTTTTGTTTACCTCTCCTCTTGTGGCCGGATTGCAAGCCCCTTAGACAATGGGATTAGCTATACCTAGGAGTCTTGTGTTGAAGTTGCGGGAAAGGCAATTACCGTGTTTACCCAAATTTTTTTTTTTTTTTTTTTTTTTTTTCTGGTTCGTACAAATTCAACAGAGTTTGAAAAACAAATTCCATGCGAATAATTCATTTTTCGTGAAATTTACTCATTTCAGATGGAAATTTGCCTAGGAAACGAACATTTTTGTTGCAATGTTCTTATTACGAGTTTTATATGTGTTTATTGTACATGTATAAGGTCTGTTTATACCGAGTGTTAATGTTTTTTTTTACTGAAAAATGATGGTTTTCACAAGTTTATTACATTGCTTATTAGAAGTGCTCTTATGTTCATTATTGTATGACTACTATTGTTGTTTATACCAAGTGTCATATTCCTTGATATTATTAGTTATGTTGCTACAAGTACTTTTGAATTTGTTAGTAGTCTATCAGATTTGCCTTTTCAAGTCTTATTTTAACGAATTGTTTATTGTGAGTGTTATATTTTCCTCAGGATAATTGAGCAAGAAAAAACGAAACAGTGAAAGAGTGATGGCTGATCAGTGGAAGGAGCTTAGTGGTGAGAGGAACTGGGAGGGTCTCTTGAAACCTCTCAACGGTGATCTCCAAACGCGGATAGAACTCTATGGTGAAAGAATTCAAGCTATTTGTGACTCCATGACGGATGATAAAAGACATCCTACCCATGAAAAGGAAGATTTATTTTCTAAAGTTATCATGAAAACAGACGAATTTGGCAAGTTATATACTGTGACCGACTATATATATGCTATGTCAGATGTTCCTTCCTGGATCGATTGGATTGTTAAGGACCGATCTGCATGGATTGGTTATGTGGCAGTAGCAACAGATAAAGGAAAGGAAGTATTAGGAAGAAGAGACATTTTGATTTGCTGGAGAGGAACTTATTCTAAGGCCGAGTGGATAAAAGATTTTGAGTTCTCTGGGACCCAAGCGTCAAACATTCTTGGGAAAACCCATAACCCACATGTGCACAAAGGATTTCTCTCCCTCTACAAATCGCCAAATACTGAACCCGTGTGCAATAATTTGAGTGCCAGAGATCAGGTAAGCTTTTATCTAAGAGTATGCATGGTGTATGAATTCAAATATTGAAAAGTAAATAACAATACCTTTTAATATAGCTAAAACAACACCCAAAAAAGAAACCATTTCCTCCGTCACCAAATAGCCATGGTAACTATTACTTTGACTGATTTGTCCCATACATATATGTCATTAAACTTGCATATATCCATATAAGTTAATAAAATATTCCCAATTGACAAAATTTCTGACTATAGACTTCAATATTTTGATTTGTTGTGGCCAGGTTAATAAATCGTAATTTTTTGTTTTTCTTGCAAAATTGATTACCTGATCAAGTGGTTGATATATGTTTTGATTATTGCTATATATACAGGTGCTGAATGCAGTGAACAGATTGGTGAATAAGTTTGACTATAGACATGAGGAAATTAGTATAACAGTAACAGGCCACAGCTTGGGAGCAGCACTTGCAACATTGAACGCAACTGATATAGTTTTCAATAAGTATAATGAGTGCAGAGGGTCAGAAAAAAAATGCATGGTCACAGCCTTTGCGTTTGCAAGCCCCAAGGTTGGTGACAAGGGATTCAGGAACGTCTTCAATGGACTCAACAATCTTCATCTCTTGAATATTAGAAATAAAGGTGACATTGTTACAAGAGTTCCTCCCTATCCCTACAAAAAAGTGGGAACAAAGTTACAAATTGGGAGTTACAGGGAAGGATTATACAAACTTATTAAGGACGGAAAATCAAAACTTAAGAAGATGCATCAATTTCGAAGTTTGCCACGAGATTTATTTGGTAAATCGTTTCAATTTCATCGTTTGCAGGAGTATCGCATTATGGCGCAAAAAATTCTTACTTAGCTGGTAATCATCTCCTAAATGCAATTGGCGTTTGGAGATTTATTGCCCTCCTAAAGTGTTAACGATGTTACCATGCAGAGCAAGCTGCAACATTAAGCAAATTCATGTTTTTAAGTCTTTTTACAACAAATTAGCTAGAGCAAGTTGGCTTTTGGCGCCAATATTTAAGTTCAACACTTTACGTGTTCTCTAACAAAATGCAGGTGGTAGCTCAAGTGGCAGAGCAAGTTGCAGATCTAATGGTGGAGGATGACAGCTGAAGAATAAGTTCAATGGAGAAGATTGTGTGAAAGATCAAGTGGTTGTGTATAAATTGTAATCATTGTCAAGGTTCATGGATGAAAACTTTTCTGATAGAAAGAAATATAAACATGTATTCTTCGTACTCTGTTTTTTTGCATTTACTCTTTTCTTTACTGTTACTCTATTCTTCACATGGTATCAGAATTGCCAACAAATGTCAATGGCAGATCCTAAAGCATCCTTTTCCTCAGCTTCAGTTGTAGACGAAATGACAACAAACTCCATGTCAACCTCACCTTTAAGCAATATGCTTCCAACTATTTCTGTAAAACTAGGAAAAAGAAACTATGCATACTGAAAATCTTAGGTGCTTCCAGCCTTGAAAGTTTATGATCTGGAAGGTTTCGTAACAGGTGAAAAATCCTGTCCCTCATCCTTTATTCTTATTGATGAATCCAAAAGAGAAGTTAATTCTGAACATATAATGTGGAAGAAAGTTGATCAATTCTTGTTTGGTTGGTTAAATTTGTCAATATCTGAAACAATGTTCCAGCATGTAGCAAACTGTAATACTACGTATGATATATGGCATACCTTAGAGATGCATTTTCTTACTAATTCTAAGGCTAGAGTGTTGCATTTAAGAAATCAGTTACAAAAAACTAGGAAGGATAACTCAAGTATAAACAACTATGTGCTAAAGATGAAAGAAATTGCTGGCTTCTTAACCACCAATGGCGTAACTATTAGTGATGAAGAGCTACTGCTTTACATTCTTGATGGCCCTAGCTTTGAATATGATGCCATGGTTGCCACCTTAACATCGAGAAGCAGCGAAGTATCCCTACAAGAAGCACAATTTCTACTGTACAAACATTAATGAGGCTAGAAAAGCAACATTCAGCTTACTTAGGCTTTCATGAAGCTACAGCTTTTCATGCTCACAAACAATCTTCTTCTCCGCCCCAAAATGTGCTAATGAACAACAATTTAGATCAACAAATACCACAAGACTCACAAACTCTACCTTCACATCAAGATGAATACAAGAATACCTATAACAACACTCAACAGTTTCAAACCTTCAATCTAGCCTTTGGCAGGGGCAGAGGTAGAGGACAAAACTTTTACAAGCCACGACTGATTTGCCAGTTATGTGGAAAGCCAGGTCATATGGCTCTTCAATGCTATCATCGGTTCGACACAAATTTTCAAGGACATCAAAATCACCGACCTCAGTTTAGCATGCACTACAACAATCCACAACAATCCACACAACACATAGGTCCTCCACAGGCTTACTTTGCAAATACAACAAGCTCATATGTTCCTTATGGCACACCACAGCCCTTCCCTCTGATTTCACCATTGATTCCTCATAAAATGCAGTTTCAGAATACCTCACATCTGAATCAGTCTTCTTCTTTTAACCCGAATCAATCTTCTGCAATAACCTCTCCTGTTAGAAATAAAAGAAATTCAACTGCAACACCACTTACAATGACTGATCCTACCTGGTTCATTGACTCTAGAGCCACTCGCCATATTACATTAGATCCTCAACATCTTCCTTATAAAAATCAGTATACAGGATTAGACTCTCTTCAGGTTGGCAACGGTCAATGCCTTGACATTTCACACACAGGTTTAGCATTTATCCATTCTTCTTGTGTAAATAAATCCTTGCAACTTAGAAATATACTATGTGTTCCTCAAGTTAGCAAGAATCTCCTTAGTATTTTTAAAATTACAAGAGATAATCATGTGGTAGTTGAATTCTCTACTGATGAATGTGCTGTTAAGGACAAGCTAACCCAGCAGGTCATACTTAGAGGGACTATGTGCAATGGTCTCTACTAACTTACCATTCCTTTAGATTTTGCCAACAATAAACAAGTCACAAGTTCAGCACTAGCTTCTACTCAAACTTCAAATTCAATGAATAAACATGCTATGGTTTCTTCTCTGCATCAGTCCATGGTTCATGACTCCTCCGCAACCTATGTTACTCCTTCTGGTTGTTCTAGTGTTTTACCTTCAGATTCTGATATTGTGTATAATCCAACAAGTTGGTTGGTCAGTTGTACTTCACCTAGTATACCTGCAAATAATGTTGAACAAACTAATCCTACACAAGACGGAGATTTGTGGCACCGCAGACTCGGTCACCCTCATGTAGTTGCTATCAATTCTCTTGTTTCACATTTGAATGTAAAGGATCACTCTATCAATAAAGTTCAGTTATGTACAACATGTTAGTATGGTAAACTTCGCCAGAATTCTTTTCCTCCATCAACTTCTCAATCAAGCCAACCTTTTGAACTTGTTTTTGCGGATGTGTAGGGCCCTACACCTGTTACCTCAGCCACTAGCTTCAAGCATTATTTGCTATTTGTTGATGATTTCACATGCTACTCTTGGATTTATCCTCTAAAACTGAAATCTGAGGTACATAATATTGTTCAACAATTTATTGCATTAGTGGCTCAACAGTTTGATGGCAACATCAAGACCTTCCAATCAGATTGGGGAGGTGAATTTTGTCCTCTTGTTGAGTATTTTGCTCAGCAGGGTATTCATTTCAGACATCCCTACCCTTATATCCATCAACAAAACGGAAAGATTGGGCGAAAACACCGCCATGTGACAGAAGTTGGATTAACGTTGCTAGCTCAAGCCTCTATGTCGCTTAAGTACTGGTGGTTTGCCTTCCACACTACTGTGTATCTAATAAAATGTCTTCCCTCTGCAATTATATCCCATATCTCACCTTTTCAAAAGCTTTTCCATAAAGTTCTAGACTATAAAGCTATTTGTACCTTTGGATGTCAATGTTTTCCTTTCCTTAGACCTTATCAACAACATAAATTTTCTTTTCACTCAGAACAGTGTGTTCTTTTGGGTTATAGTTCTCATCACAAGGGTTACCTCTATCTCAATGCTCATGGCAAAGTTTACACGGTTCAGATTGTCAAGTTCAATGAGCAAATATTCCATTTTGCCAATGGTTTTTCACTTACCAATTTTGATGTATCTACTAATGCTGACTCTTGTTTTTCGTCTCAAGCCTGGAAAATTCCTCATATATCATTGATTCATCAGCCTTTGTCTCAAACTACTTCAGCTCCTTCAACCTCTTTGTCCGAAGTTGAGCCATCTGCCCATAACACTCCTATTATGTCCTCTTTACCTTCACCTACTTTCTCCCCTCCAAAACCACCTGTCCCATGTTTGGAAGTTGATTTCCTAGCCTATAACACTCCCTCTCAGCCCTTCCATATTTTTACACTAAATGTCGACCCTATGCTCACTCGCAGGAAAGCTGCTGCCCTTATCAGTCATGTCCTGCCTGACTGTCATGCAGCCACTTCCTCCACTCCTCTTATCTCTGAATGCATAGCCACAGTTCCTATTCCCTCCCTTTCCTCTGAGATTCATAAAGAACCCTCATCTGTCACTACCGCCTTACACAATCCTCTTTGGGTTCAGGCCATGGATGCTGAGTTTACTACACTACAAAATAATCACACCTGGACTTTAGATCCTTATACTAATAATATGACTTTAGTTGGTCATAAATGTGTTTTCAAAGTCAAGTTAAATGTTGATGGCAGTCTCCAGCGTTACAAAGCACGCCTTATGGCTAAGGGTTTTCATCAAACTACTGGAGTTGATTTTTCAAAAAACATTTTCTCCTGTTGTTAAGGCATCCACCATTAGAGTCATCTTATGCTTAGCCGTGCACAATGGGTGGGAGGTCTAACAAGTAGACGTAAATAATACCTTTCTAAATTGCGACCTTACTGAAGCCGTTTTCATGACACAACCTAAGGGATTTATTGATCAATCTAAACCTCATCATGTTTGCTGGTTGCACAAAGCTTTATACGGCTTAAAACAAGCTCTTAGGGCCTGGTTCGATAAGCTTAAAACTGTGTTGCTGAGCAAAGGTTTTCAGAACTCCACCTCTGATTCTAGTCTTTTTTATCTTATTCAAGATGCCATGATTATTTATATTCTTGTTTACGTTGATGATATACTATTGATTGGCAATAACCTCTCCTTCATTCACTCCGTCGTGTCAGCTTTAGATACTGAATTTGGTATAAAGATTCTTGGTTCTGTTCATTATTTCTTGGGCATCTTTGTTGTTCATACTTCATATAGGTTACAACTTAATCATGCCAAATATGCTTAAAAAATTCTCTCCAAATTTGGCATGACAGACTGCAACTGTGTGCCACTCCTATGATTTTTGGTTCCAAGCTACACTTTGAGGATGGTCCTCTCTTCGAACAGCCTTCCCTCTGTAGAAGTCTCATTGGTGCTTTACAATATCTTACCATGACCAGGCCTGACCTCTCTTTTACTGTAAATAAACTCAGCCAATTCCTCAAAGCTCCCACTATCACTCATTGGCAAGCTTGCAAGCGGGTTCTCTGGTATGTTCAAGGTACACTCACTCATGGCCTAACTTTTTATCGCAGTTCCACACTTCATCTTGAGGGTTATATGGATGCCGATTGGGCTAGCAATCTATCCGACCACAAGTTGACAAGCTATTCGCAAGTGTACGAAATCGCGCAAGTAATAAAGCTCGAATAAACGAGTGTCGAATCCCGAGAGAACTACCTACCAAGTACCAAACTAGTCTATTTTATTGCAAACAGAATCTTAATAATGACTTTAATGAAAAAGCAAACAAACTAAAAACTAAATAACTTCAGAATTTTGTAAACACTTTGATGTAAAGATCAATATGACTAAACCTAGGGCACAGATTTCACACCAATTTAATCCTATGCATTGACGATTATTGCTAACCCAATTAAGCTTATTCTAAAAACCAAACTCCCTAATATTCCACTAATTTTCTCTCAAAC